ATAAATACGGGATGTTCATACAATTCAGTGGCACATCAGTTACGCAACTGCACTTGTATATCACAATATACACCGAGTCGTCCGCCTAGGCTTATTATTCTTATCCGGCGAAAATCACAACGGCACATTACATAGGTAAAGCAAGTCTTTATGAGAGATAGCGCTATCTCGAGGCGGATGTCGAGAAAATCTTTCATATAACGCCTATATAAATGTACCAACGATCGATAGATTTGCAATTTTATCTTTAATCCGAGGTCTTTTTAAACTTGTTATGGTTCCAAAAATAGTGCAAAATTTTCTAGATCTTCTCATGCTCTCATTCTTTATTTTTTGGAATTTTCTTTATATTTTCAACTGTTTTTGTGCTTCTTCGATTCAGTTTAACGCGAAATATCGTTATCAAAATTATTACTACATAATGGGCACGGAAAAAAGAGAGTTTGAATTAATCAAATGTCAAGTGAAATATGAACGAAACAGAAACTTCCGCTGAAGTTGTCAGAATTCTGTTCAAGTTAAGCAGAACTTGCAACTGTTCAAATTAACCAAGAATTTTATTAATTTTCTGGCAACTCGAACAGGCTTTCTGGTCCGTTTATATTTCACCAGACATTTGGTTAATCCAAATTTGTTCTTTCGCGTGCGTAATAATCTATAACGAGAAGATACTTATATAGGAAGCTTTCATTTGAGGGCTTCAGCTTTCGAAAATCTGTATTTGATGTGTAATGAAACCGACACGTCAAAATCACTGATCATGGAGTCACATCATGGCGGGTCTACTTCGTCTGACGAATCGAGTTCGTCTTAAATTAAATTACGTTTTTGTTCTCCGACACAATTAACGCCGTCCATCAAGCGATTGCATGCAAGCCCTGCCAGATATAACGCACGGCCACGTGCAATTGAGTTACGCTATCCATCAAACTCGCAACAGCGGCTCGTTCACATTACAGGCTCACTTTGGACCTCAAAGTATTACATTCTACCGCTTCTCGAGTTTTTCTCGTCCGACTAATTGTCCAGACTAAATTCCTCTTCCATTCCCTTTTAGCATACTTCTAAGTTTACATGCTTCAAAACGTGTTAAATACGTCACTTTGTGCCTATTCGTAACTCTATGAATCAAGAGCATCATTAGCTGCAAATTTAAGTGATATGGCGTGCTACAGAGGACATCTTCGCTACTCATCTTCCATTGAGTTTTTCACTAATTCTCAATCAATCTTAAAATTCTTCTAAAACCTTGTTTTAGGCCTCTAATCGTTTAAAGGAAAAAATTACAAGTATCCAGATATTCTTATACGAAAATAACTTTGAAGCACGACTAAAAACCCATAGACATAGTAACACGATAAATTTCGAACATATGAGCGGGATGATGAAACCAAAAGAGTGAATGATAACACTCATAAAATTTTATAGTATCCTTTACCAGGATTGCGCAAAATACGACGGATAATAGTTATCTTGACACGATTTTTATTATCACCAATATTAGGCAGGCTTTGGTTACCAACGGTAAAGAAAACACAAATTTTATTCTCGATATACACGTTGATAACAAAGGTTGTTCGATCAATCGCGTTGATCACTACATATGGAAATGCTTGGCAACAAGTCGGGAAATGATTGTCGTCGTTTGATTGTCAAGCAGTATCTGTGCAGGACGCGCACTCACGCGAAGATAAACGTCGTGATTATACCTTATCCTCAAAATGATCAATGCATATACTGGGTGTCTCAGAAATGCGTTTTCTCCGTGAAACAGAATTGTCGTTACTTTTCGCTTTTGTTCTCGTCGAAACGCGCTGTTCGAAGAGAATGAAGCCGTCGGCAATTTTGCACGTTGCAAATTATGAGCTTTCAGAAAGAAAGAAAGAAGAACCTAGACACAATCGCGTGTCTTGATACCGAGTGGACATTAGTTTTAATTCGAGGAGAATCGCCGAAGCACTTCAGAGCCGACGATTTATGATTGCTTACAAAGCGCGTATCCGATGAAATTCCAACCGAGATAAATTCATGAGCTGGAAGAAAGTGCTGTGCGACGTCGGGACACCCCGTGTTATTTAAAACAATCGTGAAATCGCGTCGCGGTGGGCGCGCTTCAGCGGAGCGTCAAAATAGCGGCGGAACACGCCAGATAACGTCTAACTATAAGATTCGACCCGCCGGCGGACTTGTTGCTCGCTGTATTTTATTTTCGTAAACGAAAGACGATACTTCGCCACGCACTCGCCTATTTTGTAGCTGTGCCGTAATCCCTCGCGTAATGTTTACCGCGAATACACACACACGCGTTCCCAAAATTCTCGGCTGTTCACATTCGCGCGCGACGATGCACTTTCACGACGGCTCCGGAGCAGATGGATGACAATGGCCATGGTCAGTGGATCGTTATCGCAGTTATCACAGTTGCGTCAATGGACCACTCGCAGGTTTCATTTATCTCTGTATATTTCTACGAAATCAATCGAAAAGGAGAAAGCAAACGATCTGGGAATTACTAAAGAATGAAATCTACAAGGTCTGTTTTTGCTGCGGACAATAAGACATCTTAATTAAAAGTACAATATCTTTGTTTTATCAATTAATCTAAATTATTCTGAATTGGATCAAGGATCTTGGGATAACGTCCGTCTTTTTTTAATACAATGAATTCGTTACATATCTTAATCGATGACTGAATAAAAAATAAAGAAGAGAGAATAGAAACCCGAGAGATATATTTTATTTCACTGTTTCTCTCGAGTTTTCTTTCCGCGTAAAAAAAGACGCGAACAAGAGAGAAGGCGCTAGTGAAGAGAGAATGTCGGAATTAAAATTAAAAGGGAATATCGATAATGCTCCACTTTTAGTGGGATATCGTCTAGCACACTGCGTTTACGTTTCACGTTGCGTTTTTATTGCTTCGAGCCACGAGAAGGGGAGAGAAAGACTTCCTACTTTTTACACGGAACTCCAAGATACGGATAAGCGTATCGCGTTAGGTGGTCGTAAGTCATGTCGATTATTTATCGGACCTCCTCGATGTGAGACTAGGGAGAACGTCCGGTATTTCGACTGGCGCTAACTGGCGGCGCGTTATGCGAAAATAAACACGCCCGAGACACGTGCGCGCTCTTCTTCTCTCTCTCTCTCTCTCTCTCTCTCTCTCTCTTTATTTATCTCTCGGATAATTTGCCGGACAGGATTAACTTCGAAGCCGTTAAACCGGTAAAAATTACCGCGTTACGCGTGCGCATAGATATTTAGCGGGACACACCTAACTACAACGCGGCTCCTTTATTTTTATCCTATCGCAAAACAGATATATATTTGATAAAAAAAAGTAGTTGCGAGATCACTGATTACATATGTACATTTTTGTTGCTCAAAAATAAAAAAAAGAGTTGATAGTGTGACACAGTTGCAACTTGCGATTTACGTCGCAACGTACGTGAAAAAGACGGAATGTATGAAAACGACAAAAGTCTGCATCGGTTTAATATAATACAACCTGTAAAAATTTTAAACTGTTTCTTTTATTTTCCAGTCACACACAGACATACTTTGGTAACAGACGTTTTGATGGGTGAAAGAGGGAAGGAAGGAAGGAAAGAGTAAAAGTGTACTGACATGATATCTGATGCACTTTGCAACGCGGTAACGCGCTGTCGTGTACGTTTCGCATAATTTTCTTATCGCGCATGTAAATTGCGGAGATGTCAACTCATGTTCTCTCTTTGAAAACTTTGCAGTGCACTTATCAAAATATATCGTACGAGAAAAAGGCAGAGCGAGAAAGAAAGAGAAAGCGCGTAAAGATGCAATTATTGTGCGGAATTACATAGGATAAGATGAAAACTGGATCGTGCGTCAGAGGATTAAGGGGATAGACCTTTTATCAGAATATATTTGTCGCGACTCATTGACGCGTTAATCAGTGTCGAGTGTCGAGATTATCGATGAGAAATTACGTGTTGCGACGCTATCACGAGGAATTGTTATTCTAAATCTCGAGCGCGATTAATTCGCTGACGTCAACGCGGTTCGGAACGCGTTTCCCGAAACATATAACGTGGCGAGGGCGACTCGATCGGAAATTGGAACGTCGATGATTTAAACGGCCCTGATTACATTATTGTGACCCATCGACCGACACACGAGATTACACGTGATGAGCAGCAGTCTTTCCGAAACGAAGTGAAATCCGAAGCGCAATAGTAAATAGGCATCCACACAGTCGACGCGATCAGATAACTCGTGACATAGAGTAGTCATGAGAGAATCTAATCGCTTAAATCATAATCGACTAGCGGTTACGACGAGAAAGTTCGTTTTGTAATTATTACTACGATATTTACGCCATCTCTCTATTTCCCTCCATTCGCCCGGATAGATAGACGCGTATCAAAGATCTCTTGCATACTTTTGCGCGTGCATATATGTGAGTGTGTGTGTTTCACTACGGTTTATGTGCAAACAAAATTGAACGTCGAGGATAGGTTCTACAGTCGGGATCGTGCGATACACGTAATCGTCATCGCGAGTACCGCGACGAACACGTGTATGAGGAAGTGGCTGGCGGTGGTAGAGTCGGTGCCGCGATGGTGGGGGAACGGGAAACACGCGTGGCGTACACGGCGAACTACCAACCTGATAAAGCCACTTTTACCGCGCTCCTCGACTCCAGTAGCGAGGAGACGCGCGATATTTTCACGATATCGTGTTCGTAGGCTATGCGTGATGAAAATTAAATATCCACGAGGACGATACGCATGGAATCTTTTATCGATACACTTTGCAAATAATGAGCTTAAATTCGGTCTTTCCTCTCTGAATGAAGAAGCAAAAAGAAAAGAACGAGTTATCAAACTCACGCGAACGATTGCGGATCATGTCTATCTTAATCGGACTCTATTTCAACTAAATAGGTCGCCTGATACCAGAATGAATTCGCGAATTTGTCGACAGGACTCCGAGATTAGAGAATACACGGAAAAATTACTCACCGTTGAGACCATATTTCTCTTGGTTCCTCTTGACTTGATCAGGAGCCAGTCCCTTGTCGGCATCGACGCCAAAATAATTTACTACATCATCCACGGATTTACAATGGGCGTCCTCCATGGTTACTGCTTCGTAGATGCTTCACCAGTGTTATCCTCTCAGTGATTGTATACGTACATTCACATAAACAGTTTCTGAAAATTAATGAAATTAACATTAGACATTGGTACATATATATTCAATGGGACAGAGGACTAAATACAGAGTTGAGACATGCACCATGAATTGCAGAAGAGAAACTCTGCAACACAAGTAAATTTTTTGGAATTTTGTCGAAGAAATTAAAACCCAAAACTTCCTAAATATATACTATACTTTTGTCAGAAAAACTAACATCCTAAACTGTACTAGTCATACATTTAAATAAATTAATTGAAGATTATTGAATATTTATATGTATAAGATCATACTATACATCCTATCATCCTCATTCTTCCAAAATGCCAAGTTGGCGTATAAAAAATTTGTCAGAAATTAATTTCTTTTCAACACAACCTACTTTCCTATATGTACTATCATTAATAATGACACAAACACCACATACATACATATATACATACACACATACAGAAAGTTAATTCTATTCATATAAATACTTTCATAATAAACAATGAATGAAAATAGGTAACAGACAGCATAACAAGAGCAAAATTAAAAAAAAACAGGGACTAACATATATTATTTACTTTATTTCATGAGATTTTTTACTGAAATAGAGAACTAAATTTTAATAATCCCTAGCTATCCTTTCCTAAATTACACAGCTAGCAACGATGTAGTCAAGGAGTTTAGTTAACCAGGGTTTAACGCTATCTAACGGTCCTTAACAGGATAACAGAGGGCAAAACTTCACTACCGTAGCACTCACTGGGAATTCGCCACGTAAATTTAACACGCACCACGTACTATACGGAAACGTATACTGCGCGGGATAGAAAGAGAGAAAAGAGAGAGAGAGAGAGAGAGAGAGAGAGAGAGAGAGAGATGGGTGGGGAGGGGAAATGACGAGAAAAAAATGAGCAACAAAATAAATTTCAATACCAAGGATGCTCTCGCGAAGTGGAGGATCGTCCCACGATGTTTCGTTTCCGTGCGAAATTACGAGTTTCGACGATAGTTTCGCGCGATGAGTCGGCGACGAAGATGATGAGGAGGATGTGGACAAGCAGGATGGAAGAAGCGCGGCACGCACTTCACCGCAATTTCGACTCACTACTCGGAGTGCAACGTGTCCACGCGACATACACTCGCGGCCCGCTACGGTATCCTCGCCGTCGTGGGTCGTGTTCGCGTTGTCACTGCACGGAGCGAGTCCGTTGCGTTGACGCACAACGGCTACGGCTGTCGTTGATGACGACGTGTCAACCGGGGAGTGAGAGCGCGTATACGAAAGAGGAAGAGAGAGAGACGAAGAGTAGGAAAAGGACAGGCAGAGACGCAGAAGGAGGGAGAGTATGAGATATGAAGAAAGAGCGAGAGAGAGAGAAAATTACGTTACGGCCGCCGAATATTTAGGTTAGTCGCGCGGCGGCGGCGACGGCGGCGGCGGCGACGACTGCGACGACGGTGGCAGCGCGCGTGCTTGTCCCGCGACGAATTTCACGGCGAATCACGTCCCGACGATACAGCGGCTATACACACGCTCGTATCTCGTTGCCTTCGCGACCGAACGGGAAACACGAACGAGCCGTAACGGATTCTGTTGCTGCTGCTGGTGTGGCGAGTCGCGCGTGAGCTATCACGAGGCGCGGATGCACGAGACGCACGTCATTTTCCACAACGGTGTTACCAACGCGAATGCTAACCTGACCTCCGCTTCCGCGAGACTGGCACGGCGAAACGGGCGAATCATCGCGCGACCGCCAGCGCCGTCTGTCGGCACGCGACAACAACGCCCGGTCGCGCCGCCGCATAGCGCGAATAATCGCGCCCGTCTTCGCGGTGCAACGAGAGCGATTAATCGACCATCAATCGTTCGTGAATCGTGCGAGACGGCTGATCGAGACACCCGACGGAACTCGGACGCGGCGAGCGGCGGGTTTGCGGAACGGCATAGCGCGATCGGCGTGCGTTTTCCGCCTGTCGACGCGGTGACCGCGCGCCTCTCGGTGACACGCGTCGTGGTGCGGCGCGCGGTTAGCGAGCATGTGGAGCGACGCCATTGGCCGAGCGGAGCGTGACGCGGACGGCTATTTTCGGGCTTCTGCTAGGCTATTTCCTTGGCGCGTATTTTAAGACCGCGCGACCGGCGGCTCCGCGGCGTGTTGTCCTTACGTAATCGCGACGTCGCGGCTGATGAGTCGCCGCCGATAGTTCGTGTGTTGACTGACCACTGGAGACGAATGGTAAGATGTGATGACTTCAATCCTTAACCTTTTCGCCGACCGATTTTCTCGTGGCAATGCCGACGCAACGCGGAAATAACCTGGAGGACGCTGTCACGGCTACAGAAATCGACGCGATCGGAATAACACACGTGAAACTTCCGAAAATAAAGTTCGGTTATTTTTTATCTATTTTGATTCTCTTACGCATATATGCCACCGCGACGTCACCCAGCTGGCTCTCGGCGAGGTGAAGAGGCAGATGGATTGTTTAAATATTTCGCTATCTGTGTGAATGTTAATTGTTAATTAGGCTCGAATAAACTATTTACATGTTGAATATCGTCATCTGATGCACGATGAAATAAGAGCAGTTCTCTATCAACCAAGTTAGCTTAAATAGAAAATAAAAATCGACATTATGATGATTCAGAATCGTTAGGAACCTGCGAAACGTGCGATCGAAATGTAGCATAGTAAACGCGAGAGCGAGCCCTTGGCTATCGAAATGCGATTGCATTCCCTCAGTGTTCTAATGCAGAGTTCTAAACTTTCATGTCCCAGTGTCGCTCGATCGACACACGTTCAAGATCAACGCGGCGCGATCTTAAAATTCGCATCAAGTTCAAAGGTACCGTACAGGAATCGTGCAGGCGAGCCAAGGTTACCGTTCGATTTCGGCGACTCGAACTCGTCACGATACCTTTGAAAGTCGTTCCAGTCTATGAAAGTCTATCTACAAGTGGCCTGTGAGATCTTAGCCTTGAGCCAATATTAAAGAAGAAGAAGAGGAAATTCCAGGCCTATCGTTTCCTGTTTTTTTTTTCTTTTTCTTTTCTAGCTAAAATTAAGCATCTTCGATTTACGCGAGCGATCGATGGGCGTCGTAAAACTCTCGCATTATGTAAGGTCGACCTCGAAGTCGTGCGTTGCGTCGCTTGGACACTTTGCGAAATTCCTTCGTTTCAGAGATTCATATTTCCCACGGGACGTTTTATACAACCACGTGCCGGCGGTTAAGTATACACGTCCATAACTCTCGCGACACCTCGTCCACCGCTCTATAATCATCGGACGTTTACTTTCCATACCGACTTGCAAATTCGAGCTAGCGAAACGCTAGCTCGTAGCGAAGAGCATCTAAGAATCTTGCTAACACTCTTGGCGAGGCTCCAAAAGATGTCTAAAATGCGTCTAAAAGATGCTGGATATTTCGGACGTCGTTTAGATGTCTTCTGGGTATCCTCCGCCGTCTTTCGTATTGTTTGAGCAGTTAACCTGAGGTTAATATATGTGTACATGTATGTTGCAAAATCTCTTTTTCTGCTATTTTTTTTATTTATCTATCATCTATCTAAGATCTATCATCTATGATTTTGAAGTATTTAGTTTGAGTTAAGGTACTACAACACCCACGACTATATGCACATGCAAGTTCGACTTTCTGCGCAACTAAAAAAAGACGGTTAATTCAAACGCTCATTAATTGTTAACAAGTCGCCTACTAGGTGTGTATCTACAAAATTCTCACAGCACCTCTTAATGACTGAACGTTGACGTCTGCCCGACTTGGAAATTTAAGGCAACAGAACAAAGAAAGCAACGAAATGCAGGTGAGTTATTAATTAGACAATTTTCATGACTTTCAAGCTCAAATATTGTAGCGCTACTTGAATGTCCAAAATGACACGATCAGAATGCGCGTTTGAAGATAATTAAATGTTAAGTAGGAACCGAATAGGAGCTAATTATCGGACATCAACTCTTTGCGCTAATTGGAGAAGGTAAACTAATCAGGGTAATGCGTGCGGACGATGAGCCCGCTGAAACGCTGATGAATGTGTTTAATTAAAGCGCGTTCACTCGACGCGCTCAACGATCATCGAGCGACGACTTCTCGTGTCAGATGGAAAATCGAGGTGAACAAAGAAAGAAAAAAAAAAAAGAAAAGAAAGAAACGCGATCGGCGGAAATAATTCCGCTAAAACACCGACAAGTGGTTAATTACACACGTCACACACAGCTCCCGCGGGAGTCGCGTATTCATTCACACTCGAGACCGGCACACCGATCCGAAGCAATACAAGGCCTGAACTCTCCGCTAACATCGCGGGGCCCGTCAATGTATCTCATAGAAATTGCCCGTCGCCAACCGAGAAGAATTTTGGGAGAAGAATTTTAGCTACTCATTAGGAAACACCAAAACCACATCGTCGCAGGTAGGTCGTCGAGTCGATCGGATCTACGTGACCTTCCTTAACCGGCTCTACCTTCGAAAGGCCTCGTGTGTTCTCACTGTGGCCACTGTGACCACTGTGACTACGTATCGTCGTGTGATTCGTGTCGTTAGCGCTACACCGCGAACGGGAACGGTCTCCCAACCCTCGGAGTCCGTTTCTCCTACGGAGAGGTCGGAACTCGGGGGGTCGGGGGTTAAAGAGAACTAACCCTCTGGACGCTGGCGCGGCTGGCTATCCCTCTCGACGACGGAGCGCAACCGCTCGCATCAGTTCGGCCTTGAAGGACACGCCGCGCGGTACGGGCTCGGCGACCGGTCGCGCGGTACTGCGGTACCACACTCCGTCTGCGGATTCCCGAGGACTCTGTCCGGACGACTAGCTCGCTCAAGCGCCCGGGACGCGACTAGCCGGCCAAATCGCGCGCGCCCGAGCGAACGTTTTTAGCACGTCTTCGACGACGACTTCCTAATTATTTTGGCAGAGATGCTCGGGTGCCGCGATCTCCGGTCGCCTCGCCTCCGTCCGATCGAGCCCGCCGCCGCCCCGCGCATCTTTCCGAGGACTACGCGGGGATTTCGCGAGGTGGTCTTAATTCGCGAGCTGCTCCCGAGCTGAATTTTGTATCCTTTTTTTCTTCTCCGTGCCAGATCGAATCCGCGAGGTTGTCGCCGCAATCTAATCCCTCGTGTGTACCACTTTGCGCAGACTGAATTAATTAAATATAAAACATGTTGCGGTGCCTCGGTCTCGTTGCAACAACAAGGTGTTGTCTCTCAAGCCGCTTGGAAAAAACACGATAATTCTGCGAGTCGGCATTGCGAATTGACGGTTAAGTCTTCTTTCTCTCGCTGCAATTCTATCGGGATGTATGATTAGCCAAAATTGTCTCTAATTTAGGTGCAGCTCTGACGCACTGTGTTTGCGAACTCGTCACGGATTCATCTAACCGGATTCATTAATTGGCGCAATTGCTTTGAGGGTCGTGATTATTTGATGGACACACGGACACCGCATTATTGACACGATCTCTCTTTTCGGCATTCGACGAATCATTTTGCTGTAATATTAATAGCACCAACGCGTGCATGTCCATGTGTTAACGCCATTGTGACGTGATGCCATATGAGCGATTCGTTGCGTGGACGGTGCACACGCATTAACACGTTTTCTCGCACGACATGTATTTCTGCTGCGGACCTATCGCCAAAGATAACAGAATACCTTTGAGATTCTTTAAAAATAACGTCCCACGGCAAGCAGCCAGAAATTATCAAAGCACCGAAGAATGTGAGAGGATAAATGAAAAGGGGGACCTATCTGCGCCTGCACACGGATGAAAGTTATCAGTCCGTGCAATTGAATGGGACGAAAATTCGATGACGGGAAATTATATATTTCTGTTATCGCGCGAAAACTTCTCTGAGAATATCTTTGTTAGCCCGAAAGTTTCACACATTCGGCTGCTTTAAAGCTTCGCCTGAGATAACTGAGAACAATTGACTCAACAGAAATCTCTTGAAATTCCCCTTAGGAAAAATTACTTTAAGATGTTTAAATTAACATAAAGTTCTTAAAATTACTTAAAGTAATTTACAGTTAACTAATTTACAGTTAAGTAATTTTTATTTAATTATAAAGAACATTAAATAACTTTAAACAACTTTAAATTAATTTGAACAACTTAAAGTAATTTTTCCTAAGGATCTTCTCAGAAATTTCTCTGTTCTTACTGACTGACTTTTCCGATTGATTCCTATATTCCTCCGGGCACGGAAAATGCAGTTTGCTAACGGAGTTGTTTTTTCTCGTGTACATCGGAGCGTTCAGCGTTAATCCCGCTCAAAGTTAAAATTCAATCGGAATTTCAATCCGTTGAGCGACAACGGGGATTAATAATTACGCCCAACAAGCTGCGCGTTCGCAATCTCGCTCGCGTAAAAAATCTCGCGTTTTTTCATGAATGCGCAGATCGCTACTGGTGTCCTTTCCGCGTGCAGTTTGTCGGCTGGGTGATGTCTTATAGCGCCGTTTAATTATAGTTTAAGATCGCGCGGATTACGCGACGTCTCGCCTGAGATAATTTCTCGGTCCGCGAAAATCTCTTCAGGTTGGCGCGTGCCGCGGTGACCTACAAAAACTAAAACGAATTCTTGGCTCTAGTTATTATAGGTCGCGTAATACGCGGTTACACTTCGACGGAGGTTGAAGCCGCAAGTTGAATTCACGCGTGATCGGGGACATCAACAACGGCGATCTCAACGGCGCTTTTATTGGCTCGCTCTCTTACATTGCCGAGCTATTCGTGAAATTCGCGACGCGTCGTAATATTTTTATTCTGTGCGAAATAAAAAAAAAATGCGCGCGCGCGCGCGCATACTCCCCCGCGGCCCGTCGCGATTAGCCTCGCGCGAGCGCTCATTATGCAATCGCGTACATTGCACAACACAACGAAACAGCATGTACGTTAACGCAACGGAATGCTGAAGGTTCGTGTGCGCTGTTCCGCTTATTTTGCGATAATATTCAAAGATTTCTCTTTATTCGAAACGAGAAATTCGACAGTGTCTTACAGATAAGCATTCTCTCGTAACGCTTCTCTCTAAATAACAACGTATATGTCTGCACAATGCAATTTTACCGACGCAGTTTCTTTTTGTTATCATGTCATGTGCGTTGCCGGGAATTAGTTATTCTCACACTTTCATCGAAACGCGCGGATCTCACTTCGCAACGCTCTAGAGCGGCTCTCGTCTAGCCAGGCGCTCGAGAATAATCGCGCTTCCACTCTGACGCGACAACTCGCGTTCACAGCGGCACGTTGCTTCCGGATTTCGGAATTTCGCACGGTGTAGACTACGTCGCGAGATGGAGGTGGCAAATTTCGCGAGTGATCGAAATTCACTAACAAGTTCAGAACAGAAAGCGACAAGCGGAGAGACGCCTCTCGCTCGCGGCCGGTCGTTCTGAGAACAAGCACGTTTCAGCACTCCCAATCAATGAAACTGATTTCCCTATTTACATCACATGGTATGGTGTTCCAGAATTTCCGCAATTCGCGATTAACGTCCCACGCGTCGCCGCGCGAAATTCCGCGACTGACTGACGAGCGAGGCGTTCTCCCCAAACCTTGCCTTTACTCAAACAGGGCAGTTATTCACGCTAACTCGGACGGTTATCTCATGTCATCGGTCACAAACGAGTCTTTCACGGCTAATCCTTCTTGGCTTGTCTGTCACTACACTTTTGCCTCTCTATCTCCCGGCCCGCGTTCTCCACTCCGGCGAGACGCGGAGGCTGCGTCGTCACTGATCGCGCTTGGTCACACGACGAACACTATGCCAACTGCATCCCTCATAGCCGCGCGGCGAGTGGACTTACCGGTGCTTCCGTCTTCAACTCTTTCACTCGGAGCTGATATACGGGGAGGGGGGGCATGGACCACCCCCGGCGAACGTTATCACACCGCTACCTCGGCGTTTTCCTTTCGATTCACTTCTCTTTTGGCTTTTACTCCTCGATGCGCATCGTCGTCGTACGTCGACGCGCCGCTCTCGACTGGGGGGACCTTTACGACGTGGAGGGTCGTGTGCGCGACGGCGAAAGGGAAGCGAAACAAACAAACATTCAAAAAGGGAGCAACGCCTGCGCTGCCGTGCAAAACGAAGCGCCGAGCGGCCGCGAAATTCGCTTAAATAGTCCGTAAGCGTCGCTACCTGGTGGCCGGACGACGAAAACCAAAGTCTGGCCGGAAGCCAGTGGTCCCGGCAACCGTCGCGGATGTCGTCGTCGTTTTTCTGCGTTTAACCTTCGAATCTGAAGAGGGAAGGAGAATGCTCGGGGATACGACGAGGAGAGACGCGGTTGATCCGACCTAAGCGCCGCGCGAAGACACCATATTTCGAATCTCAAGAGCACGATTTGTCTGGAAGAAAAAGCATGCTTCTTTGTATGCCACGGCCAGGACACCGTGAATGACGAGAACGAGATAATCTCCCGGTGGTTACACGACGTTGTTCGTATCGCACGAAAAGGCTGGGGATGATGAGTGGGAAACGTATTTTTCTTCCAAGACACCTCGGTATGAGATACGTAGACGAAGAAGTACAAGTAGAACGAATAGTAGAAAGAATAGTTACCAAGGCGGAATAATCGCGCTCTCTTTTCCTCGGGTTGCTGCGTGACCCAGTTTTGTGAATTTTTAGTCGCGTTTGGAGAATAGAATGAATACTCGAAGGATGGCACGTGTTATTTTTCAACTTCATATATTCCTTATCTTGTTAGAATAACGGAGATACGCTTTGTTTTCGAACTAAGATCCGCCGATTATCTCGAAATGAGTGCCGAAGAACAGTTTTCCTTAAGGAATCAACAAGTGGGACATTGCGTGAATTTTCCAAAGCATAGTTTTTCTCGAATGATCATAACATGTGATTGAAATTCCTCAGTACGGTTTGTATTAACCCGTTTCGATCGGGAAAAATAAATTGCATCACAAGGTCGAGAGAGAAAAATTGCCAGAACGATAGGACGTCTTTCGGGAATTTAAATGAGAAATCACGGTTAGACTATCTATAAATACGCACAGTTCGACCGCTCTCGCAGCATTATTCTTATTAGAATTATACAAGGCACGCGTTTTCTTCGAGAACGAAAATAGTCGACTGGCGAATATCCAAATGCGATATCGGGTGCAACCCCGGAGACAATTCATCGCGAATATTTCGTTAGGAAATTCGTTCTCTTCGAGAACGTCCCGTCTTCATCCTTTAGTGAACACGACTGAGATTGTTCATACAGTGCTCGTTTTGATCCTCTTTAATGCCATTATCATTTCATAACGGTATCCTCTGCATCTTAATTAACGCATCTGAATCTCAAGGTCTTCAAATTTTAGATATCACCAAGTATGAATTTTCTTGAAATAGCAATCCCTATATTTTTTTTATTCGTTGCTCTTGTTCTGAAATTTTCAATCACCTTTAATAAGATTTACTCATTGCAAGTGGTGACATTTCGTCATTACACGTTGAGATAACGCGCTGGTTGCGCGCGTAAGCAGGAGCGGAGGAGCTGTCATCCTGCCTGCGGCAAGCGACAAACGTTCCAAGTATAAGCGCATCTTGTAGCACGTGAAAGAGAGTGCGGGAGAAAGAGTCGGGTCAACGGCCCGTTTCTAGTATTCTAAATACATTTAATGTACGAGTGCCCGCGGTCCGTCTCGTACGTCTGTTTCGCCCGTGAGATATCAACTCGCGCCACGCGCGCCTCGTCGAATCTGCCAAGTCCTCGTGATTATCTCGCACGTACCACGCCGGAATTGTATCGCGGATTTGCTACTTGAGATGCACTGTAGCATGACAAGGCAAATATAGATATAGGGTGTCCCAGTTTCGTTGTGCACCCTTTGGTAGTCTCGCAACAGGATCATCCACGGCTCACCTTAAAAAATCGGTTTGATTTTATCGTTTGATTCATTTCGACGTTGTTTACAATGGTGGAAAGATGAATATTTAAATGCAATCGGCGTTTTTTGCCGATAATGATGGTGCATTTGATTGACTGACGTCACTAAATTCGTGTGATCATACCAGAAGTTAGTTCATAATTTCGGACTTTACAGTTACGATTTCGATGATATTGAATGTAACTGAGATACAAAATGGTGGAGCTCTATAAATGCGATTATTCATAACGGACGCGTGAGTTTTTTGCTATGTTTGCGATTATATATATAACTCTAAATAATTAATAATAAAATAGGCGACTGACCGCTTCGCGATGAGGAGAGAGAGATGAGCTTGACACCCGCGAACTTCTTGAAATTTCCGTTGCGAAACGAGAAGATGAGAATAGATCGCTTAGGACAGCGAAGATAAGTGCGAAAAAGCGTGTCATAAAGGCGGACGTTTTCCAGGAAAACCTACTCGTCGCAATATACTTCAAAGATGAAGCTACGAGCGGTCTGGACGCTGGATAAACATGTCGGTGCAATATACGTTTTATCGCGAAAGTTGGTGCGTTGAATACGTTTATTTTCAATACATCAATGGACGCGCAATGTTGGTGATTACGTTTCGGTAATAGTGTTCTGGAAAAGCTTGTTTCCTCAATATTGGAGCGTACGATCGAAGTGTATTGCCATCAGCACAGCCTAAAATGTTTTTCTTTCGATTCATTTCCCGAGTATACGAATTATCGGGGGGAAAGAGAACAATATTAACCTTTAGGCTGCCGGCATTTTTTAATTAAAAAAGTGTTTTTTTACTCAAAAATTTTTCTAGATAAGTAACATACACATGGCGCAGAATTTTGAGATTTGTACAAAGCTACAAAAGTGGTTTTCCCGGCAATCTAAAGGTTAAATACATCTATCTGGTGTCTGGATAACTGGGACTGAAAAGAACTATATTTATTATCTATATCTAACACGTTATTCTCTCCCTCTATAATTTATAGTTGAAAAATGAATAAAAAAAAAAATTTTAACCGATGCAACAAGATTTAATGACGAATAGAAGTAACCGCAATTTTTGCTTTACCAAATGATATAATGCCGCTAATAAAAACGTTTTACCAGCAAATGAAAAATAAAAGAAGCTCGGGGACTTTTTCAAATATAAAGAATTTTTCTTATCATGCCGCGTGTAGGTGAGACGCATTCTGTACGTAGGACGCTACAAGCTATCCTGAGTGAGAGATTAAAAACTCTTACCAGCTGCAATGTTGGTTCTAAGATGTGAGTACCTATTATGATTAGAGTAAATATGCGTTCATCGCGCAACATGAATCTATAACGAGAGCAGGCGTTGTGAGCCGCCATGAGATGACAGACAGCGGTCCTTGAATTTGCAACACGATGAAGCACCGCGTCGACTTTCCGAGAGACGGAACTGTCCGAAGCAGTCGAACGGCCGTCCCCCATGAGACGTCCGCGCTATCAGCACACATTCTCTCATTATAGCAAACCAAAATAGACGTTGTTACTTCGTCGCTTACTCTGACCGGCGTTTCAAAGCGCGACGTTATTTTTAGCCAAAACTCAAAGTCTTATGTAAAACGTAGCCCGCGTTATAACGATGTTTTGGAGCATCATTACGTCGGAAACGCTCCTTCGTTTCGCTCAGTGCGCGATGTGCCTCGGAGATCTTAGATTCATCAACCCGGAAGAGGAGCCGGCTATACGTACGTCTTACAAGTGTGCAATCTGCTATTCTGAGAGGAGAGCGATATCATGACGGAAGTATCAGCGCGAGATGAATTCAGAACCGATGATTCACGCTGTACCCATCGATAGCTCGAATTCATGCTGATTCTCGAAAAAAAAAAGGGAAGAAGGAATCCAATGATATTAACGATGAATTACGAAAGCGAGAGAGAAAAAAGCTTCTAACTGTTGTTGTGAACCGGACATATGTTTCGGCGAATTTTATTTGACATTAAACTGAAAATTTTAGAGTGGCTTGGCCAAACCTAAATACAGGCGCTAAGTCTAAATGCAGAACTGGAAAACATTGTGGGCGTGCGCGCCGACGCCGACAAAGAGAATCGTATTTATTTATAACGATTTTTATAAATGAAGTGCTAAACAGCCATGTGACGAGACCACCTGAAACGGACGGTACAAACGAGAGGGAGAGAAATCAACATCATCATCTATCGTAATATGTCCTAAAATAAATATCGCGGCGGACTTATGAAACGCGACGACCGGTTAAACATATGTTTCCCTCAATACGCGTGGACGAATAATTGCCACTTGACTGCTTCACTTGCAGAAAAATTTCATTTGTTTCGCGTCAGATTCAATTTAGGATCGAGAATGTCGAGGAAAGTGATCTTCACGCTATTATTGAAACGAGAAATGTTCGATCAATCGTTATCATACAGTCGGACCTATAATCCCTTCATGCACGCAATCAATGCACGTTGTTTTTTGCAATAACTTTCACGTTAATTACGCACACCAATAACATGGCGTCCTGCAGAGATTCTAGCGTGTCGCACGTCACATATACTCAGTTGCATCAATCTTCTCCGAAGTGTCACACGGTGGCGGAAGCTAAATGACCCTTCATACCGTGTCAAAAATTGCTTCCTAGAGGAAGAACGCCGTGGTATAACTTTAGATCATTAGCAGCAGAAAGCGGCATTTGTCGAAATTTATAGGATATTATCAAAGAGCAGCTCACGTCTTCTCTTTATCGCTGAACAGAAGAGCTCTGTCGCTGCTCAAGGCACCTTCAACGTCCAACGACGTCATCAGCGCCGGGAAATTACCACTACGACAGCTCGTAAGGGGACAGAATCACGGCGAAACTTTACGTAAGTTTAACAAGAGTTAAAAAATGACTTGGCTTAATGCGGCGGCTAATGGTAAATTGTAATACGACTTCTCACTTCAAGTATGTCGTAAAAATTAGCAGCTTTGCGCATATCTATTTGTTCCTCAACAAGAAATTTACATATTAATATATCTCATATATATCGACTTTTGCCGTTTGGCAAGCTTAACGAGCTTTGATGAGCTTGGAGAAACTAGAAAATATTTTGCAATAATTTAGCGTCATGCGGAATTGAAAATCGACACTCGAGAAAATCTCGATTTCATTTGAAATCAGTCAAACTCTGGTAAGCAAATTGCTTATTTTGTATTCTTACCAGCGCTCTCTTGATTCGTATCACTGTCATCTATAATGTTCAATAAACTTATTTGTCATTAACATTTAGAATGTATAAATTTCCATACTGACATTTCAAATCTGTACAGCATCCTGTCTCTTTAATAGATTTATTTATTAATACGGCCTTCATAAGTGTCGTGTTGAGAAATGGAAGTCTGTTGACGGTCGTCTGGTGAATTTTCTCTGAGAGAAATATTGACTCTCGAGTTTTGCGAATCTGCGACTAGGAGACTACTAAACTCTACACTTCACGCACGGCCCACTGTTCCTCTCTGCTCGTCTCTATAATTTGTTCCACGCGTTTCTGCGATCTCGTATAACAACCACAGATATGTCTGACCGAATTGCGGTAAGCTTAAACTTTCCTTCTTGCGACGAGATGATTTAGCGTCTCGCCGTAGATTTTCACTAATCTTTAGCATTTCTCTACTGTATGTGCCGAACAAATTAATCGCAATAGTATGAAATGTAATATACGCATCGCGTTATAACAATAGTAGCAATATATATTTACGGAATGTTGACACGTGAATGTTTACATCGAAAAGCAGTAATACATCGTCCATCTGTCTCCATATTGCTAAGTGATTGCAAAAAATATAAAATTATTTTTAACCAAGGACACACAACTTTTATAAACAGGATGAAAAAACTTTCAATATGACAGCAGCGATAAGTAGGTGAAATTACACGTATTAACGTATTTCATTAGAAAAAATAAACAATTTATCTTATTTTGAGAATCCTAGAAAATACGCACGAACGTATGAGCTGCTCTGACATAAAAGCCGTTTATCCAGAAGAGTTAAAAGCGTCTCAACGTACCTACAAGCGAGCGAATTGAAAGCGTCGCTTCGGAGTGCAGTCTTATTTATATGTGATTCACTGCACGGGTCTTTGCCTCGTGACGTACGTGACATTCCTTCCGGTAGGAAGCCTCCAACACGGTCAGCCGCGTCTGTCAAGCTCACACGGCCTATACTGAGCGACGGGCGCGAATTAAGAACGCTCGCTCGGCGAACGTAGACGCCGATGGTGATGTTATCCATCGTCGCGTACATGATTTCTCGCATGTACGGAATGAGTGAAATAAACGGTCAGCTGTGAAGGCGCATCTAATGAATCTCTGTCGAAAAGTGACTGACCCGTTCGTTGCTAATTATTCGTATGGTGAAAACAGCGACAAAATATGTAAGCCACAAGAAGCAATTGAGGATAAATCTCGTCGAGGCTTCACCAATCGAAGACCAGTCAAGGAGCAGTCAAGTAGCAGCCAAGAACCAGTCAAGGACTAGTTAAGCATCAACTTATACGGACTTTATGTGGACGGAAACGAAATGTTTATAATCAGAAAGAAGAGAAAAATACAATTTCATACACATACACGATGATCGTAAACGTAGCAATGAAAGCAAAGTATCTGAAACCATTCGGACTGAGTCCAGGCTAAATTCGACTAATCGCACAGCGATCGATCGAAAGGGGATCAGCGAGCAGAGCGGCAGCTGCGAATACGCCTGGCGCACAACGGTGCTTTCAGGGTTAACTCTCCTCGCGGAGATCGGTCCTACTTATGTAAAATCTTGAACGACTAACATTGAGCTAATTATAAACACGGCCGGCTAGCTACGTCCGCGTCTTCGTGTGGCCGCCGCGTCTCTGTTACCTGTCTTGCCCTGCCCTGCCCTACCCTGTTCTGCCCTGCCCTGCCCTGCTCTGCTTTACTCCGCTGAGCTCTGTTCTGCTCCGCTCTGCTCTGTTCTGCTGTGTTCTGCTTTGCCCGCGGCCGTGCAATTTGCGATGCAGTCGGTCTTAGGTGGACCGACACACACGGCTAGCGACCTAACTAAAAATAAGCGGTCGGCCAAGTGGCAGAGGGACGCGGGAGGTCCGATCAACGGCCAACTGGGCCAGTAAAGTAACCGTAGCTCAACGTCCCAAATATAGTCCGACATCTACATAGCCGTCGATTCGTCCTACCTGCTGGCACATCAGTGCGTGTTCTGTGTACGCGATAGAGAAAGAGAAAGAGAGAGAGAGAGAGAGAGAGAGAGAGAGAGAGAGAAAGAGAGAGAGTATGTGTTAGAGAATGACAGAACATCAGTATAATATAATCGTCACAGGTGATTCCCCGATGACACGCCGTTTTTCGTCGTTGAATCGCCAGAATAGGAAAGAGTTTGTTACGCTAATTCTGGAATTGGTCGTGCCCGTTGTGTGTCGTCATGGACGCGATGTCAACAACGTTCGGTACCGACTTGATTTATTAACCCGAAAGTAGCCGCGTATTTCTCTTATTTGTCTTTTTTCCCTGTCGACGGATTCCCGCGCTCTAAAGAAGCGTAGCGTCACGCTTTACTTTGGCGATTTAAAACATAAACACATTTAAAAATAAACACGAATAAAATGACGTATTTTTATACATTTTGCTTCATCAAAAACATGCTTTATCAAACCGAAATATATAGACAGAGACTGCCAATTGTGTATTGTTGACGTGCGGAAAATTAAAGGCGATATTGGGAAGATCGATTTACGTGGCAATTATCGAAAATTCGAGTTGTGGTTCGCAATTAATCCCTTTCACAGGAATACTAGAGGCATAAGCCGATATGATCGAGATATTTCACGTGCCCAGTATTTCTCGGTCGACTTGCGCGTTCGATATCGGCAGAAATCGCCATCGATGCGGTAACGCTGCCAATGGCAGACGTATGTTCCGGTCCTATACGAGCACCATCGCAATTTTCGCATCAGGTCTCCACTCAAGAAGCGCCCGTTCGTGCCACTAAACCGTTGTAGTGCGATTGCATTTAGCTAGCGACAGCTTGATGCCGTTTCAGCACCTGGTATAATCAATGTAATTGTCAGATAAAGTGGACTGTTGTACAATTTTGAATCAACAGTGTTACCGCATATCTGCATTACGCCCGTTCTCACGTCGATCTATGTGAATGGCTGTTTCCTTCAGAAGTAAGGCTTAAACGTCGACGGCGAACGAGTATCCGCGAGTGAACGAGGCGTTGATTGAGAGACGCGCGTCCCTTAAGTTGTCAAACTTCGGTTAGATTTACATGGACGACGAAAAAGTTAAAAATAAGAGATTGTCCGTTTATATTTTCGCCGTATTTTTGCGACTCATCACTAGATCGATACGTTTGCAGAATTTCCGAAAAAGAAAAAGCAGATTCTAACTAGACGCGAATTTTCATGTGTGTCCATTATTTGATCAACTTTTCGTGTCTATGCACGAAATCTAGCGCTTTATAGTTGGAGCATGTGCTAATGAGAGTCGCACGTTAATAATGCGTAGGTAGCGGGATCATCCCTCAAAGAAAAGCGCCATCAATATAAATAACAGACGCGACATGTATATTTATCTTGTCTATGCGCCTGCAAAATTGCACACGAACTATTATAACAGACAGCCTTGTCCTGCTAATGAGCAAACGTTTAACAAAATACGGTGGCAAACCCTCAGTTTCGTTTGCTAGCTGGCTAGCTTCGTCTACTAACAATATAAGAGCGTGAGTCAAATTGAATATTCGAGTAACAGATATACGTATTATCTTTAAAATGTCGAAGTTTCTAGACGCGTCTCAGCGCTCTCATGCATGCAAACGCACTACTTAGATAGACAGAGATAGATAGATAGATAAATAGAGAGAAAGAGAGAGAGAAAGAGAGAGCTGCTTAGAGAGAATGAAAATAGAAGACGAATGAAGGCTATACCGAGGTGTGTGTGTGCTGACATCCCCAGGAACTCTACCGTACTTTAAGATCGGTCTCCGTCTACCTTGACGAAGGTAGCGTCACGGCTCGATGAACGTTGCGGCTGCTGCGTGATGCATGACGTCGCGAGTGGCGTCTTAGCGATCTTAGCGATCTTCTGAATTTTCCGAGATGAACGCGGTATAATAAATTAACTCACATTACTTGCGCTCGGAGTAAAATAATCATAGTAAAAATATCTTAAAATTTCACAAGTTGCAGAAGCGATTTTCTGCCTGATAAAAATTAAAGAGAAGAGAAAAGGAAACGAGGGATATTCTTAAATCTTAAAACAACTTACCGTTGCGATTTATCAGAAATATTGCATATAACAAATCTTAAGATATACAAAATTGAAATTAACGAATTTCAAGAGTATGTTAATACAATAAAGAATATAAAATTAATTTGTGACTTGCTTTTTTCAGATTGACCAAAATAAATGCAAAACAAGAAAGCTCGATATTCTAATAGCTCTCACAAATAATTTACTAATATCCATGCAATTTTTCTTAAAGAAAGAGATTCTATCGGTGTCCATACTGATAATCGCCGACAGCAATCGCGGGAAGCGTGCGACAGGTATTGCCTGTGATCCTAAATTATTCGGCGCGCTCCACCGCCGAGCTGGGAATCTTTGGCAGGTCCCGCGCGACTCGACGCGACGTCGATGAAACGCAGAAAAGTCTCATCTATCATGTCGAAACGCGTAACGCGAAAATAGTCGCAAGGATACGTTCGGGGCCGGACTTGGCGCGAGTGTGCGCGACCGTGCCGGCGCGAGTTATCGAGTTTGATTCCGATAACGAGGCTACGTCATAGTTGCGACGTTATCACGGGTATCGGTAATGTCAAACAGATCGCTCGGATGGAGACAAAGTTTGAGGATACATTGGTTGCATCGAGATACATTAGTCATTAAGAGATTGGATTTGCAAATTTATATAGTCTTTCTTACCTTCTTGGCTTTTCAGATCATTGTAAACTTGTTTTCGTCACATATTCAGCAATGCTTCAATTAATTTTTGCACATATTTTCATCGTGTAAAAGCACTTGTGATTCTGTGCAACCAATGTAAATTCTGCAAAAAACAATCAATACTTTGTCAGTAAAGTTTTCAGCTACGGCATCCTCTTAATGGAGTTTGAAACTTCTAAGGAGTGTCATTACGTTAGAAGAAATTAGATTAATCCAAGCTAGCAAGATTAAATTTTAAAATTTGCAATAGACGAATGCCTAACCACTAATGTTTGGCAGATAGCTGCTGTTTTGATTATTCGCAATATTCTGACGGTTAAATTTTTCCATTTCTGACGGTTTAATTTTTCCATTTCTTTTCTATACATTTTCATGTATACGCGAATAAAGATCGCTACCGAGCAATTGGCCATTAACCCTGGCTTCAGACGGATGCGTTTTTCCGTCGGAGAAACTACACTTTTTGATACTAATAATAAACCTAAGTATCTTACGTATAGTTAATATACGCTGTCGTGCTTCATTGGGTCAAGGAAGATACGTTTTTGCAGAACGTCTGAAGCAGAAGGTCTTAAGCCGCGGGAAAGGGCAAAGTGAGCTCGTCTTAAGAGCGTACAAAAGATGCATTATTACACAACCGTAAGAAAAGAATTTCGTGATATGACGTGAGGGCAGAGGTGATCAAGATACACCGGCTGCGTGCACGCTAAGACTGAGGATGATAAAAATATGAGAGACTCAACTTTGACTTCTTCTTATAGTTAGCATATACTACTTTATTTTTCAGATATATGTTGAAAGATAAATGTCAATTTTTTCTTGGAAAATTTTTCACGTTGTTAGACGTTGTTCTTTAGATTGATTATACTTTTCCTACCTGCAAACTTTGAGATATCGATCAAATTATATATATTTTTATTAACGAGTGGAATCTGTTTAATTATAAATAGAAAGAGCATTAAAACGCCCGACGTCTTGCGTTGTAGCTTTAGTGTAATTTAAGCTACACTTACGTGTAATATATTTCAATTCTGACATCTTCAATCAGCCAGAGCGCTTTCTATTGTGTACGAAACGGAAACCGAGAGTGAGTAATTCGCGCAAAGTATTTATAATTTGCACGGATTTGCAAAGGCGGGATTATTTTTGTGAACGTGCTCCTCAGAGACGTAATGGTCTGTTGGCTATGCAATAAAAACGCCACGATTACAACATTGGCACGCGTAATGTCGCGCGTATCATGCATCGTACACGTCACAAATAACACGTGAAACAGTGCTATCTTCGACAGTACTGTGACGAAACAAATCGATTCTCAATAAGAAAGAATTCAAATACCAAACTAGGAAAATTCGCAAAATCGAAGTAACTTTCCTATACTTCGAAACATATCGTTTCTTTATTTTTCGAAGACAAACATGTGATTTGCACTATGACGTACTGCAGTATGACGTAAAAGATATTCTCTACGTGCTGTCACACGAGTGGGAGATAATTAAATACGATACAGCTCACAGCCGGTTCTACTTTGCCTGTTCGTAACATCTACATGCCAAAAACATCAACATTACTGAAATGTACCGAATAGTGGGGTCATTCTTCAGTCATTCTTTCCACAGCTGTGCTCTCTCCTCAACTACGTTTGCGAAATACAATCTCGATACTTTGCTCTTTTGGAATGTTGATAGAAGTTTCTTCTTCCGTCACGCTCTCTGATTAACGCGAGGAGAACGTGATCACTTTGCAAAGGATCCTTGAGAAAACCATTATTACGGCCGGTTAAGCCTACGCTCTAGGCCAGGGGCTAGGCTAGGCTATTTCCGCGATTCAGCTTATGGACCGAAATAGTCCTAGAGAGCTTCTGTCGGGACTGTCCATCTTGATGTGGTCAGACCGACACGGGATCAATTTTATATGTTTCTCACAGAGTTTTCATCGTCGTTTGTTTGACACTGAGAACTCGAGTTCTCGCTGTCTGTTTAGTTTTCTAAACTCAAAGACCAGCAGTAGACAGTAATTTAACGGACAGAGGCGAATCCGGGGATTATATAACAACTCTTTTGAAAATAAGCATACAGAGCGGCGAACGTAAATGGGCAGCTTTTGTGTAAAAGAGGTTTACTAAGTCGGCGTTGATTACTTTGTTATGGAGGTATCTTTGGCAGAACTCTCTTGAAAACTTTAACAACGCGAAACACGACGATGAAATCGCCGTGTATTTTCCACATTTTATTGCATGTTTAACAAGCACCCCTGCTCTATACAACGTTATTTTTTTCCAAAATATATGAGAAAAAAGGAGAGACAAGAAAAATGAGTACGAAAGGCAAGCTTCCTCCCTCTTTTTCTTGAACCGTTAAGGCAAACGGCGAGAATATCTCTGCGCGCCCACGCTCATTCGCGTTTCTCCCGGCGTGGTTGCGCGCTGCTCCGCTCTTCCTCGGTCTGTGTACAACGGCTATTTCCACTGTCGTCGGCGACGATGCGACAGGTGCTAAGCCATGCCAGGCGGCGCGATGCCGCATCGGCGAGGCGAGAATTGCGAAATCCGTCGACGAGAGAAGCCCGCGACGGAGTATTTTCAATCGTCTCCACCGGTGCTGGGCGATTCCTCGTCGTCCTGGGGAAGCGGCACCGGACCGATAGGTGAAGGCGAACGGATAGGTGGCTTTGCAGAGCATATTTCTGGCAGTCACGAGATACGATTTTACGGGCGGCGAGCGAGCAGTAACGAACTCGTCGTGAGAGAGCGAGGAAAAGAGAAAGGGGG